ACCTATCGAAGAAGATCTAATTTCAATCATTACAATTTGAGTACGATCACTCAAATACGAAAAAAAAGCTCAAGAAACATGTAATCAAATCCAAACTTTGCCTGTTTGTTTAGTAGAATATGATGAGGTACTTGATCAAATGCTTTGCAAAAATCGAAGTATACTGAAAGACTTTTAAGATTCGTCTCATTTTTTGAATAAATTTTCTGAAGATATTCAAGAAGTTGGGTAATGGTTGATCGTTTTGTCATGAAACCAGGATGATTGGAAGTACTGTTTGGTCTCACTCGAGGGTATATAAAAATAAAAATCATTCTCTCCAGAATAAGCAATAATTGAGGTAAGATGCTGATACGGCGGTAATTTTCAACATTTTCTGGATTGTTAGTTTTCAAGATGGGTGTTATGTAAGCACATTACCAAAGTGTAGGCCATTTTTAGGTAGTTAAGAAATTAACAAAAAGCTGAACGACATGTGGCGCTATGAAATTGAGGCAGTTGCTAAGAACAGAAGTTGGAAGGATGTCATTGGTTAAACATGTAGTTGAAGCTGACGCGAGTGACGTTTCAACGTGAACAACGTTTGTTTGAAGCACGTGTAACAGAAGTGAAGGGTTGTCTTGTGCATATAGAGCATAATTCCATCTTGGTAGGCACACAGAACAGAACAGAAGTAATCATTCATAAGATTTGCTATTTCCAAAGAATTGGTAGCTTTTTTTTCTTTCCACTGCATTTGATTTGGTAGTCGTTTTCTAATAAATGAGCGCAGATGATTAAAACAGTCACGAGTCAAACTCGTAGATAACAATTCAAATAAGCATGTGTTATCGAGTTCAATTGATTGATCAATATCGTATTGCAATGAAGAGAGACGTAGATTGTTATTATTAAGTCTTGAAGCTGTTCGATGTCTCTTAAGAAGATGAACAGTGTGGGACGAATAAAAATAAGGCAGTTGTCGCCGACTTTTGGTCTTTTTACAACAGCAAAATTTTTTACTGCCATAAATTCAGAATACCAGTAACCTACATAATCTTCGTTACTTAATGAGCCAAAACTCGAGTTTTGAGTAAAAATAAGATTAGCAAAGCATGGGCTGATATTTTCATTGAAAGCTGAACAAGAGAATGAGGCTTTCGAAAATTGAGAGCTTAAATTTTGTCCAGGGGTGCTCAGTGTTAATTTGGGTATTGTAAAGAAAGAATTCACGGGAAAATGGTCTGAATACAATTTATTGTCAAGGAAAACTGTTAATAGTTCAGTATGGGATGAAGTAAAATTTGTAAATTAAAAGTTTGTAAATTAGAAGTTTGTATCAGTAAATTAGGCTAAACGTTTGTGCCTTTTAGCCTAATTGTTGTGGTGAACTTATTAAATAGATTTATTATGTCTGATGTTTGTGCCTGTTTGTGGAGCGCCCTCTGAGGGATTTTAGAGACAGGTCTGTCAAGTGGCTTTTTGTGGGGAGGTGGGAATCTGGAACCGACTTGAAGAGTCTGGTGGTGCACCGCTGGACCTACTGAGCTCGGGTGAGATTGTTCCTTGTTTTTGATTTTTAAAATTCGTTTTTAAATTTAAATTAATTTAATTGTCTCTAATCATTTTTTTTGCTGATTTGTAAAATTCCCACTAACCGCTTATCATGGGTTAGTTCAGTCCCCTAAATTCCAGTCAGAATCTTTTTTTTTACCTTTATGTTGCGTCAAGATGACGAAAAACAACAGAGAGTGTACAAGCAAATATTGCTTAAAACCTTCAGGACTGATAAGTTGGATTAGATGTGATTGTTGTTCTAGTTGGTATCATATCAGTGGTGTAAATATTTCTCTTAGCGACTCTCAGAAAACCCAATGGTTTCAGTGTTCTTTATGCGTTTATGTAAAATCTTTTAATAAAGCAACAAGAGGTGATGATTTAGTGCTCGACAATTATGTGAAAACAGCCATCTCAAATGTCCGAGTACTCAAGAGAGTACCAAAAGACTCGCGTGTTCCCTTGGCGGAAAGTCTGTCGGACAAAATAAATGACATCGTCTACAATGTAGAAGTTGTTACAAAATGGCTAATTTTTTTAACGTCGTCCTTGGTTTTTTTAGGAGCAACCGAGAAGAAGTGGACGCAAACATACCACAAGCATGGGCTCTTTGATAAAAAAAAAATTCAAGCAAATGACGTGTCCTTTCCAAAACCCCATCCCTAAGTTTCAAGCCCATCTCCGAGTGACCTCGAGCAGAGAATAAAGCTAACAAGTAGTCAGCTCGATGATGAAGGAAATGTAAAGGGAAGAATAAGGCTTGCTGCTTCGGATGACAAAATTGCTCCTTTTTCAACTGATAACTATCAAAAAAAGTTGTCTAAGCACCCTCAGCGAGCCAAAGTTGCAGCTCCAAGTCCCGAAATTTGGGATAATTTTTTTGTAACCGATTTCAATCTATACAAAGCGATAATGTCCTTTCCGAACGGATCAGCACCAGGTCCTGATAAAACAGTTCCTCAAATTTTTAAAGATCTTGTTAGTAAATTGAATGGCAGTGCAGGACCTAATTTTCTGAAATCGCTTACTAAACTGATAAACCTCACTGGAGATGGCAAAATACCCGAACCCCTAAGACCTTTCTTTTTTGGCGCAAAGCTGATCGCCCTCATAAAGATAGACGGTGGGTTGAGACCGATTGCCATAGGCAACACGCTGAGACGTATCGCGTCTAAATGCGCTGGAAGCAAGGCCCTCTCCGAGCGGCAAAATTTTTTCGGAAACGTACAGGTAGGGTGCGGTACCAAACGAGGAGCAGAAATAGCTGCACACTCGTTTTGAAACCTAATTGAACGCGACGACAATCCAAAATGCACTGTTCTTTTAAAACTGGATTTTAAGAATGCCTTTAACTCTCTAAATAGAGAAACAATGCTGAATCAGATTTATTCAAATCGTCCCGAATTGTATAATTACACTCATTGCGCGTATGTTAAACCTAGTTACCTTTTTTATGGAGCTCTGTCATAAATCAGAAGACGGAACTCAGCAAGGTGATCCTGAAGCCCCACCCCTTTTTGCGGAAACAGTTCATACACTAGTCAAACAGTTGGAGTCGAAATTAACATTTGGTATTTAGATGACGGAAATATAGCCGACGACTATAAGGTAGTGCTCCGGGACCTTAAAAACATTCTGAAATCGGAACAAATTTAAGGCCTGAGCTTGAACACTGAGAAGTGCGAACTTTGTTTTTTTTGGGACCGACTACTAGTACACCGTATAATTCAATTTTAACACAATTACAAAAAAATGCCCCAAAATAAAAATTAAAACAAAAGAAGAACTCCTCATTTTAGGATCTCCAATCGGCGAACTTTACCGAAAAGAATTGCTCGACGAAAAAATTCTGGAGCTTGAAAAAATATCGGATGGCATTGACAAACCTAGACGCCCATTATGGTTTTTAGATCCTGAAAAATTGCTTTAGCATGCCAAAACTCCTATATTTTTTTGCGTACGAGCTCTTGTTTTTTGCAAAATGATTTTTTGGAACGCTACAACAAACTACTAAAAAATTTGTGATGCAAAGGAGCGAAAGATGCCTTGAGCGAAATCTTTGGTTTGTAGCATGTGGATGGAACCTATGCTGATGCGCTTAAGCGGTGGTTTGACCTTGGAAAAATTGAAATGGTTCCGGAAAATGAAATCCAAAAAAATTTGACGGAGCCAATTTTTGACAGCGAAATTGCAGACTTGATTTTACGACTCGAACCAACGGACGTAAAAAGGTTCAACGCGTTCCAAGATAGATTTGGCTCCCAATGGTTGAACGTCATCCCGTGCAAAAATTTAAGGTTAAAACTGTCGAACCAACAAATCAGAATTGCGATAGGACTTCGATTAGGATCAAAAATATGCGAACGGCATAAATGCGTGTGCGGTAAAGACGTTACCGAGGATGGTTGGCATGGTCTTTCTTTCCTCAAAAGTGCAGGGAGATTCTCTAGGCGTTCAAACCTGAATGCCCTTATAAAGCAGAGTCTATCATCTACTCACATTCCGTCTGTTTTAGAACCACGACACCTCTACAGGGCCGATCAGAAGCGACCAGACGGTTTGACGCTCGTTCCATGGGCTGATGGTAAGCAGCTCTTGTGAGATGTAATGGTAGTAGACTCCTTAGCTCCTTGTAGGATTAATGCCGGGTCTGTTTGTAACCCTGGTACGGCTGCCGCTGAAGCGGAAGAGCGAAAAATTGACAAATATAAAGATCTTGTAATTGATGGATATCTTTTTCAACCGCTAGCTTTTGAAATTCAGGGCGCGACCTGAAGTTTTTTTGAGCATGCTTTGTAAGAACCTAAGCATATGCACTGAGGAACCCAGAGCAGGCAGCTTTTTAAAACAGAGAATCTCCCTGGCAATACAGATTGCGAACGCCGCTTGCGTACTCGGAACAATAAATGACAAAATAACTTTCGACGAAATTTTTTATTTGTAACACTTGTATATTATTTCTCGTGTCGATTTGCGTGTTCTTATTGAAGAAACGTAACCCGTATCGACTTAAATTGAAAAGGACTTAAACACTTGTCATCTTATTTTCTCATTATCACTTCCATATCTAGAAAATTCCAAGGATTTTGACTGGAATACGTGATGAAGGGACTCCTGACTGTAACCTCGGTTACTATGATACTTTTGACCTTCTGATTACCTAAAAAGAAGATGAAGAAGAAGAAAAAAAAAGAAAAAGTATGGGATGACAATATCAGGTCCAGGGTGTTACCGGTTGAGTTGGTTCATAAATAAGGGGTAATAAGTCGAGTCCCCCGATAGTAGAAAGAAACAAATTAGGGTAAACCGAACTGTTTTATTGTATGTAAATCATATTTTATCAATTTTATTAACCTTACGATGGACATAGTTGTATTTTGTTATTATGATTATTTTGATCTTTCCTGTAATTCTGCCAAAAAAGAGAATTGATAAGAAATAGAAAGGTTCGTGTTAGGGGACTACCTATCTGAGCGCGTCCATTACAGAACTGATAATGTCTAACAACGAAGGCGAGGTAATGGTTGACAGCAACGATGAATCTGGAGAGGAAATGTCTAGTCCAGAGGCATCCCCTGGTAAACCAAGAGAAATATCTGGAAATGGACTAGATGGACTGGATGACCAGCTCAATGGCATGACAATAGACCCGGAGGCTTTTATGCGCAGTCTGCCTGCTCCAGTAAAGCGACGAGTGAAAGCGCTAAAAAAGTTGCAAATGGAACGAGTAAAAGTTGAATCTAGGTTTTATGAAGAATTGCATCAGCTCGAAGCAAAGTTTGCCGAAAAATTTGCTCCGATGGATGAGCGAAGAGCTAATATTGCGTCTGGTGACATTGAACCAACGGACAGCGAGTGTGAATGGAAATCGGAAGATGAAAGCACTGAAGAGCCCGAAGGTCCAGAGGCAGGTGGTGATACAAAGAGTCCAAACGCTATCAATACACCTGACGTGAAAGGTGTTCCCGCTTTCTGGCTTACTGTTCTGAAACATGCCGGCGAGGTATCTGAACTAATACAGGACCACGATGAGCCTATTTTGTCACATTTAACTGATATAAAACTGAAACTGTCCGGATCCGGAGAGCCAATTGGCTACGTGCTTGAGTTTTACTTTTCACCCAACGAATATTTCAGCAACAAAATGCTCACGAAGAAATACAATATGAAAATGGAGCCAGATGATGGAGATATTCTGTTTGAAGGGCCTGAAATTGCCAGTAGCGAGGGCTGCGAGATTGACTGGAAAACCGGGAAGAATGTAACTGTGAAGACAATCAAGAAGAAGCAGAAACATAAGAAAAGTGGTGTACAAAGAACTGTTACTAAACAAGTTCAGAATGACTCTTTCTTCAATTTCTTTTCACCACCATCTGCTGAAGAGCAAAATGATCCCAGCAGCGAAGAAATCGAAGCGCAATTGCAAACAGACTACGAAATTGGCCATTTCATTAGGTTTGTTTGTTTCAATTTATCTTTTTTCTATTTCTGTACACGATCAGTTTTTTTCATGGCTTTTTATAACATTCATTTCAAATGAATTGCGCTCTCTAAAAGCAAAAGTGCGCCATTAAGTTTGTAATTTCACAAATGGATTTTGCCTTTTATAACTTAAAGGCCCTTGCGATAAACAAGGGTGTTGCTCTCGGGTACTGAATTTTTCCCCGTAAAAGTTTTTGTTGAAAGAATGATTCAAATGGTACTAAGTTTATTGTATAACTGCTGAATTATCAGCATGGTTAGAGTATTGGCTACATACGTGCCCTGGCTGCACGCTAAGAGTTCCAAATTAGTTTTTATCGGTGCTTTTTATCGTAAGTTTTATATGAGAACGATTGATCTTCAACGAGACTACTTTGAAAAAGCATCAAATATACCCTCGGGGGAACTGGACACGCTCGGAGATCACACAGTGAGCTGCCCTGTAGAAGGAGATCGTGTTGCTTCGCACGATCGTCTCCATGATAAGAGCTTCAGCACCGCTGCCTCCGCCAAGCTCTCTCCCGTTTTAGAGAAAGCCAATCTTATTACGGGTGTTCGAGAGAGGCCTGGGGATGTCTATCTTCCTTCATGGCGAGGTGGCCGACCCGCTGTCATAGGCGTTACTGTTACTTCATTCTTCCAATTGGATACCTCGCAACGATCAGCCATCACACCTGGCATAGCCCTAACTTTAGCCGAAAAAAGGAAGATCACGGCCCATGACTCTCAATGCAGCTCTCACGGAATGAGTTCCATTCCTATTGCGGTGGAGGCACTTGGGGGTAAGCGCACAGTTGCCCTAGGGGAGTGACGTCACCTGGCGTTGCTTGTGCAAATGAACACCGAAATCCACTCGGCGATCTCATGCAAGCTCTTTATGTGGAGCTCATGAGAGGAAAGGCGACCCTCGGTTAAAACAGAGCAACTTAGTGGCGCATTTGCTAACTCAAAGAGTTTAGTGATAGCTGTGAACTGTGCTTAAAGAGACTCCTCGCTTTCACGCGTTTGGTCAGATTTGAAAATAAACCTAAAATCGTGCTATTTCTAATCGAAGATTTAAAGTAAAATGAACTATTTTGTGTTAGAGTTGTAATTTTTCTTTAGTGTACAAATGCGGATTGAGTTTGTTTCTGGTTGATTGTTCCTTAAAACGTCTAATGGTTACTGACTCAAAAGTTGTTCAAGCAAGTGGAGCTTCCTATGAATACTGAGCACACTTTTAAGGTTTATCAAGCAAAAAACTTAAATAAAAATAAATTTTCCCCTCAAAAGACACAAACATAGGAAGCACATTCGCTCATCCAGCAAGGCAATTTTTAAAATAGTAAATTATAAAATGGGCCCTTCCATTTAGGTACGGTCGTGCACAAGCTGGATAGGGCCCTTACCAGCATTATATAAGTACATCAATAAACAATATTGCAGGAATTAAGTCAAGTCAGCATTTAATGCATTGTCATTAAAGGTATTTACTTCAACCGTCCCTCCTCTACAACAGCACTAATTGAATTGTCTATGAATTGCGTCTTACGCAGTGATCTGCAACCCCGTATACAAAGGATAGCGCTCCTAAGCAGCGCGAAGCTTATTTTAGTTCTTGTATAGTTTATTGTTTCTGCGTAGCTTTCATGCCTTTTTCACTAAGTTTTTCAGATATGAGCTGCATTGTCCGCGTAGCTGCTGGTGCGGCATCACCAGTGCAGCCAAAAATGAGCGGGCAGAAGCTGCTCTGTTCGACTTGTAGAATTCTGTTGGTATTTTGAGTTTTTGAGTGACTCGTGGTACTTTTAGGCGTCTTTCAGTAGTCTTCGTGAAGTTTACGCGTGCGGGTTGAAGACTTTGACATCAAAGAAGGATCAGCCAAACCTTTTTGCTGCCCCATAATCCATTTGTTTTTACATCTAGTCCAGCGTCTTCATGAGTTGTGGTTGAATTGTTGACAAAGCTCTCGCCTTGCAACGACTGAAGTTTCGGCTCGATTCCAACATCAAAGCAAACCTCGCTCATGAGGGTGGCAAAGGTATCTCTGATTTTGTTATGCCTCATGTGGGTGTATCCACCCTTTGCACAGTGAAGGGCGAGGGTAAAATTGAAAGATTGACCACATGCACATGTGAGTGGAATGTTGGTTGGTCCCCATCCATATCTGAGATAAATTCCATCCCGTCTCAGAGACAGTGCATTTAACCAGTTTGGGGCTCCTTTTTCGGAGGCCAGTTCAAGTGCGTATTTTTCATTGTCGCTCAAGTTGTTCAAAATGTTAGTTCTCTTTTGGTTTGTTCTTTCAGTTTAAATTGTTTTAATTTTTGTATAGATTTTTTCTTGCTCAGATATAGCTGTTAATGGGTCGTATGTGTCTAGGACTGACGATGTTTTAATTGACCATTCTAAAAAATTCTCATAGTCAGAAGGTAGCTTCTTATTTAGACCTCCCATTTTCAGTGGCAAAGAAGCGATGTGTCTAAATTCATGGCTGATATTATCTTTACCAATTAAATTTGGAATGAGATTTTCCTGCAGTATCTTCTCGCAGGCCTGCATGTTTTCTGTGGTATTGGAGGTATTTCTGGCTAAAAGCGATATTTTTTTGTATCCCTCTGGTGTAACAGGAGTACACGTTTTGTGCTGATGTTTTCGCGATCTCGCCAAGTTTTTTTCAGTATTTTATTATGTTCTTCTAACTGAGTTTCTAGGAAAGTTTTACATTCAGTCTCGGATCCTATGACAGAACCAAGTACTCTGGCCCGTTTCTTCATTTCAATTTCGGTATTTTTAATTACTTTTATCGCCTCATTGTATTTTTAATCTTTTACAATGAGCTGGCATTTCGATGCCTTTACATAATATCCAAAATATTTTCCGTGTTTGATAATGTTGTCAATCTTCGCAGGCTTTTCAAATTTCCGACTGCGCTCCCATCGTCTGCATACCATTTCTGTGTTAGGCTGTTATCGTTGACTAGTTTTATTAAAGGTAAAGTGGCTAGCCCGTACCTTGACATTGCTAATGGGTCTCCTTGTGTGGTTCCTTCTCTAGATAGGATTACTTTTTTATTTACGAAGAGTTGGGATGGATTAGAGTATGAGTTCTGTATTGCGGGTAGTATAGAAGGGCATATATTTGCAATGTTTTTAAAAGTCGGGTTCCGGTTTAGGGAGTTGAATGCATTTTCCGCGTCTATCAGTAATATTGCATCGGAGTCTGTTTTCTCGTATTGCTTCCTAAGCGTATGAATTGCAAATTCGATGCCACATTTTTGGCCAAGCCATAGTTGGTAATTCCATCCGAGTACCATAAGTTCGCTTTTTAAGCACTTTGCAATCGTTCTACCTGTTATTCTGCGGATGACTTCACCTAGCCAATTGGCCTAACTCCTGGGTTTTTATCAAGTGGAATTAGTCGACAGGCATTATATGGTTCAAGAAGCTCATGACTTAGTATTTCTGTCGATATTTTCTGTGCGATTTTGGCTAGTGTCTTTGATATTTCAACGGACTGTTGACCAAAGTGCGTTAGTATGTCTCCACTCATTTGCATCCACACCTGAGGGTCCATGAGAACCATGTTTTGCCATGGCAGCCTTCCTAATTTTCTGGGCGTTTATTTGGCCGAATATGGATGAGTGAAAAGGGATTGTATCTTTGGAGCATGATGTTATATAGTTGCTGTTTACTGGCTGGAGGGTGTTTCTCGACGAGGATTTGCTCAACAGTTTGGCCTTTGACGGTTTCCTGGAGTGACAGAACTCCCTTGGAGGTGTCAATTAATTCAGCAATAGCACTCGATCTTTTTCCGGTGCTCATTAATTTATTTAATTGCTGTGTTTCAGTTTCCACTTTCTTTTTCTTACTCTTTACCAAGCGCATTTGCAGCGCTTTTCCCTCGTTAAAAAATTCATCCAGTTTGCCCTTATGCCATTGCTTAAGCCTCCTTGCTTTAGTTTTGGAGTTCGATCCGATTTGGTTTTACATAGCATGAGGTGAGGAAATATCCTTGTCGCGTGCATTGCGTATGTGTTTTCTTGTGTTTCAATTAAAGAATTGAAGGTTTTATTTAGAGTTTCTATAAAGTTAAACCCAATTCTGTTTTTTGCGAGGATCATGAAGACTGGTTTCCAGTTCACTTTTTGGCTGTAGATTGTTCTTATTTTATCTTTTAGTTCAGGTGTGGGATTTGACTAGGGATGGAGTGTGGCTGTTACAGTTTCGTTGCTGTTTGCAATGGCAGGATTTTGATCGTTAGTTGAAGGAGCTTGTTGAGGCTGAGTTGGAAGAGCTTGAATGTCAGTTGTAGTGTTGTCTGTAATCAGGGAGGTGCAGCTGAAATTTTCGTCGTGGTCGCTGGCTCGGTTAAGGCCGCTGCATTTTACATGCATATCGGCTGCGCATGTTGTGCACTATATTCCACGGCGTCGTAGGTGGTTGTTACTTGTGATACAATGTGTTTGATTGGACATTATTTGAGGAGGAACGGTATCGTCAGATTATCAGGAGAATTCATAAATAATATAAGAAAGAAAATTTGTAAAGAATTTATTACCAAGGAACGAGAAGTGGATGCCGTCTCGGCAGAACGTTTGAGGGATTAGATTTAAGTCAAGATTGGGCGAAATAATGAGTTTTTGTGGATGAACAAATTTAATAATTAAATTAAACAGCATATGGTTATGAATGTAGAGTTTCCGATTAACATCATTGTTATTGGAGCTTTGGATTGTTTTCCACTTTTGGTCAACTTCTCGTGGATGAAGCCTATTATCATTATAACCGGCGATAATGATAACTGCACTAAGGCGCTTTGGTCTGTATTGTAAAACAGTTTCATACAGTGTGGCGCCGCGGTAAGAGTGAATTGTAGATTTTACTAGAGCTGATTTGATATATTTTGTCCTTGATGTGCCAATTACAAGCTTCTGAAAAGTCAGGGATGCGTCTTGCCTGGAAACCGTGCATCCACTTTAAACACAGACAGCTAAGGCAACGGAGAAGCTCTTATGTAGAAAGTTCGGGGAATGGTTGGCCAATGAATTAAGGAGTTTATTTTATTTCTGAGTTAAAAAAAAATTGAGAGGTAGGAACGGTACAACCTGTGGTGTTGTTGAAGGGTAGTTCGAGCTGCTCACTCCTTCTTGCTTCTAGATACGCCAGGGAAGCTTCACTCGCCAACGGCTGAGACGGCGAGATTTGGTTAGATAATCAGAAGAAGAAAGCCTAGCGCATATGATATGAAAACACACAAGCGGTAAATTTGAATAAAGACTATTTAATAAGTTTATCACATCAATTAGGCTACAAAAACAGACTTATCAAGCAAGCTATTCAAGCGATGTAGCTTCTAAATTTTTCAAGAAAAAACTTTAAGGAGCGAATCGGTTAGCTGAAATGTTGTTTTTGTAGAACAGCTTTGATGAATCTCTGAAATATTTCAAGTTATTACATGGTGCGAAATAATGACCAAAAAAACCACTTTAATCAAAGCAGGCTATTCAAGCATTGGAACTCATAAATATGTCAAAATAAATTTTCAGACAATTGATTCACGAAAAGTGAAAGATTTTCTAAGCTCGATGAAAGTTTGATATAAATCTATCTATCTGTATCTATTATTTAATTGGCGTTTCATGTGACACATGGTTAAGAAGTACTTGACTTTTTAATATTGTCATTTTGCGTACTTTATGACATTGGATTCTGCTTTAAATACCGAAATTTATGGCAGTTCGTTATTCTTTGTTGACTTGTAATTTCCGTATGAATTGAAATGTTGTCAATCGGCCAGCTACCCGAAACCGATCTGCCTCAGAAGCGAAACGAGGCAGAAATATGGTCCGCCGACCCGGACAGAAGCAGTTCCTGGATTTGAGAGCTGACCTTGGAGCTCTTACCTCTTCTCTCTCTGTTGCGGAGAGGATGTTCTCGCTAGAATTCATAGCTAGAAAAACCAAGGTCACAACTAATGAATTTTCTGGTGAACGATGAAGTGTGTGAAAAAAGTTCAAAACTGAAAGATTGAAAAAAAAGTTCACAAATTGTTCAGGCGCCATTTTAAACTTGACTTTTTAATGTTTTCATTTTGCGTACTTTATGACATTGGATTCTGCTTTTAAATACCGAAATTTATGGCAGTTCGTTATTCTTTGTTGACTTGTAATTTCCGACAATTACGGTTAATTTACGTATGAATTGAAATGTTGTCAATCGGCCAGCTACCCGAAACCGATCTGCCTCAACCCAAACGAGGCAGAAATACATTGCAAGGGCTTACTCCTGTCAGCGTTTCAAAACCTGTTGGAGCGCGAATGCTTTAGCTCTTACATTTTTCCTATATTCGCAACGTAAACTCTCATCATATTTGTTTCACAATTTACTCAACCCTATAGTGGTGTGCTGTCCCGATACATCTAGGGTTTGCAAATCTGGCGTTCAAGTATGACTGCTCAAGTCCTTTTGGTTTTCGAGATACGGCGTTTTTTATGAGTTTTCCATTTGTTGTAAAAAAATAGATAGAAAAAACTAAACGAACTGGGAATTCTCAACCTTGTAATGGGGTACTGGTAAGGCGCACTCGAGTGCTGTAAATCTAACGTCAAAGTACAATGGCTCAAATCCTTTTTCTTATCGAGATTTGGCGTTTTTATGATTTTTTAAATTTTTTTTTCAAAAAACTTAGATATGAAAAAATAACCGAACTTGAAATTTTCAAGCCTATAGTGGGGGGTGCTGTCAGGGTACACTCGAGGCCTTTACATCTAGCGTTCAAGTATAACGGCTCGAATCTTGCTTGTTTTCGAGATATGGCGTTTTTTTATGATTTTTTCAATAAAAAAAAATAGATATAAAAAAAACTAACCGAACTAGAAATGGTCAAACCTATAGTAGGTTGCTGTCGGGATAAACTCAGGTGTTGCAAATCTAGCGTCCAAATTTAGTATGACGGCGCAAATCCTTCTGCTTTTCGAGATATGGCGTTTTATATGATTTTTTAAATCTTCTCTGAAAAAAACTAGATATAAAAAAATAACTGAACCACGATATCTCGACCCTAAATAGGGGTGCTGTCAGGGTAGGTTCAGTAGTTTCAAATATGATGTCTAATTATGACGGCTCAAATCCTTTCGCTCTCCGAGATAAAGCGTTTTTTATGGTTTTATCATTTGTATAAGAAAAAAGGGTAGATATAATAGCAACAAACCAAACTTCGAAATTCTCAACCTTCTAGTGGGGTGCTGTCAGGTTACACACAGGGTTTGCAGATCTGGCGTCAATGTATGAATACTCAAATCGTTTTGGTTTTGGAGATGTGGCGCTTATGATTTTTTCAAAAACTTAGATATAAAAAAAACTAGTCGAACATTCTCAACCCTAAGTCGGGTGCTGTTAAGGTACATTCAGTGGTTTCAAATCTGATGTCCAAGTTTGACTGCTCAAGTCCTTTCAGTTTTCGAGATATGGCGTTTTTATGAGTGTCAATTGTTTTTTCAAAAAAACTAACCGAACTTGAAATTCTCAACCCATAGTGGGGTGCTGTCAGGGTAATTTCGAGGGTGGCAATTTTTTCCTCAGATGACTGCTGAAATTATTCACTGCTCAAATCGTGATTGCTCAGATATGACTGCTCTAATCATTTTGGTTTCCGAAATGTGGCGAATGATTCAACCCTGAAGCCGGGCCCTTTCAGGTAACATTCGGCGTTGAAAATCTGCCCTCTAACTATTACTGCTCATCTTTTTGCTTTCCGAGATGTGGTGATTTTTATGATAGTTGAGTTCTTTTCTAATAGTTGGGTTCTGTCTGGATACATGCAAGGTGTACTGTCAGGGTAAAAACCTGGACTTTAACCCAAACTGCTCGTAGCTTTTTTTCCGAGATGTGACGTTTCTAATTTTTTTTCAATAATTTTTCAAAAAACTTAGATTTAAAAACAACTAATAGAAATTTAAATTCTCAACCCTATGGTAGGATGCTGTCAGGGTTCAATATGGGGAAGCAAATCTGCCCTCTAATTTTATCTGCTCAAAAATTTTTGGTTCTCGAGATACGGCGTTTTGTATGAAATAGAAACCCCTGATAGATGAGCCCTGTTTATCTTCACGGTTGCATTAAATATCGCTTTTTTAGTACGTGTTTTAGGAATCTTTTTGAAGCACCGTAGGTGCGAGTCATGCGCTAGTTTGTTTTAAAATGTGAATATGTCCGCTAGAAGTTTTCCTAATCAAGCTATTTAAGCGATGAAACTTTGAATTAATTCAAATTATTGCGAACAGCGAATCGGTTCCGAATACTATCAGTTTTCTTCCAGAGGTTTTTCTAAGCAAGCTTTCAAAGCGATGAAACTTGCGATAGCCTTAAAGGTACAAGACAATATGACGCGGACACCGCGTGTTGATTAGAAACATGGCAAATTTTTGTAATAAAATGCAAAAATTAAACATGAGAAAAAGTCAATTTTTTTCGGCTTTTTAGTTCGCTGAAAAATTATGGTTGAAACTTTCGTTATTTTGTTTGCACGACCTGCTATATTTTTTGTTCGGACTATTGAAATTGAGGAGAATTTTTATTCGGGTGTTTTTTCAGTTTTTTTTTTCAGGCAAAATCAGACGCAAATTATCATCGGACTGGCTTGAGTGACATATCATATATGAGCGCCATCTGTCGTGATTGGAAAGACATAAAAAAAATGTCCAAAAACTTCTCGGCGTCGAGAAAAACCGCTTCAAGTTTTATGAATTTTTGTCTTTTTTCGAGCGAACGAGACAGCTTAATGTTGCGCGATAGTTTTCGCAAGTTGTTAGTAAATGAGCCATGGATTTTCTATTCAAGCCCTGAGAAGTCTCGTAAAAAAGTTTTCAAAGTTTTTTTAGTGCCATCTTGGGAAGAAACGCTGAAAAAAACTAATGAAATTTTTTTTAAAATTTTTTTTGTTTTTCATTTTTTGAAGAGAAATATTTTCCATTTTGCATATTTTATTATGAATATCGGAAGTGCCGTAAGTTTAAATTGTCGTTTAGATCTTTTCATCACACCGCGCACAAAAAACTGAAATTTAGAAAACAAAATTTATTCAAGGTAAAACACATTGATAACCCAACATAATAAGTGCAAAACATCAATGGTATTAAACGTTTTCGATTAACACAATCGCCATCATCACAAAATTTGAAATATCAGAAATACATTAAAGTACGTTGTAAGAATCAAGGCATAAATGGTTCAAACATCGATAAAAACAGAAACAAGTCCCAAACGTGGGACAATGTAATTCGAGTTCAACACAAAAAAGTCTCTCAAATCAACTCGGCTCGATGAGGACGAAGATATCAAGAGCCTCTTCATTTACGTACCTGTTAATGAAACTATCGCATCAGCCCTCGACACCCTGTCTGATATTCGACGAGAAATCTGTCACTCTGATGCAACTTGCGGTTAATAACGTCTGGCTTATGCCGGGTGAGATATGGTACACCAAGAAAGATGGGGTAGCTATGGGAGCAGCTCTGGCTGTTGTTCTTGCCAATATTTGGATAAACAAGTTGGAAAGTTCGATAGCTTGTGATAATCCCCAGCAATTTCATCTGGCGAATATCTCTGTGGTAAATGCAAAACAAAAGTAACTTAGAGAGGTTAATGCATTAGATGTACTAAATACAGGCGTTGGTATCATAGAAAGGGCACCAGTCTCAGCGTTGAAACAATTAAGAATTTGTCTACTAACAGTTGGCAGTGTGGATGCAACCCGCTTGAACAGACCATTGATGCTAACTTCTTTGGAAGATATGTTGATGATATGATAAGCTGTGCACCTTCCAGCAAAACCTCTGACATTCTTCAGAAAGCTAACTCTCTACATACAATTTTGGAGTTTACGATGGGACAGTAATAGAATGGTGGCATCCTTTTTTGTACATAATCGTGATACAATCGGGCTGTGACTTCGTGGTATTGGAAGCTGAGGATAAAAACAGTAGGAGACAGTTCAATGTTGTCCGGTAACACGAATACGCAACGACTTTCGAAACTATCTATGTTTGTTGCTGTGCAGTTCAGAGGCAGGCGAACTGACAGTGTCGTGGTATGCGAAACAGTTTGCTCTGGTTGCCACGCCAGCTACGTCAGGTAGGCTACTCGACACCCTACCACCCGTCTCCGTCTCGGAAGAAAAGTCCTGTCAGTGCACACTTTCTTTAGCTCATGGTGGGCGGATTCTGCTCGTCTGTCTCCAGGCTATGCGACAGACGAGCAGTCCGGCAATCAAAGGTGTCGGGTGAAGTTCAGAAGTGAACACCTGAACTAATATTGTGGCGCTTTGAGCGAGTGTGATTTGAAGATTATTGACAGGTCTCGTGATTCAGTTAAATTTTTGACCTTCGAAGCGTTTCACATCAACAGTAAGAAGACCACGATCAACAAAAAAGAAGAGTGCAGAGCACGCGCGCTGACCTTGAGGGTTAAGCATTCAATTATCTTGTACCAGATTTGTGGCTTATTTTTTTATTGATGTTTTTGATATTAACGTTTATGCCTTGATTGTTGAATTATATTGAAATTGTTTATTTTTTTTGTAAATTTTCTTTCTCTCTACTTTTTTTCGCTCAAAAGTTTAATCGGCTTGAGTGGTGTCAGCAAATGTGATATGAATTTAGTCACCGTATATTGCATCGCATCAAGGGCAAAAACATGTTTATAGGTTTTTGTGTTTCAGGGGTGGGTAAATTGTCGAGCTGCAATTCGAGGTTTCGCTGTTGGACTTTTGATTTCTTTTCAATTTCACTTCGTTTCTTTTGTTAACACTCGCGAAGAGAGTGTATTAGTGGGAACCTTCTTTGTTTTCCAACCTAAGTCACAAATATTGATGCCATTTTTGGGGCAGCTTTTTCATACCATGTGCTTTGACTTTCGAATAGTAATAACTTAGAATTGTTCATACATTTTTAATTCATCAAATGAACCGAAAAAAGTGATTTGCTTCAAACAAAATAACAGAAATTAAAACTGGATTTCAGAAATTTTCTAACTCAATACTCGCTAGTTTTTGAAATGCATAATTTATACATAAGTGGCTTTATGCTTTGCAATTTGGTACATGCAAAGTTAGTGTGGATGTCTTCAGTTTGTTATATTCCAAGTTATTACTTGCAAAATTGAGTCTTTTTGTCTTTGGTGCCACTTTTGCTGAATGGAATTGGCAATTTATTAGCATCTGTAGCTGCTTTATTCGTGACGAGTGTTTGTCGGTTGTTAAGCTTGCGTGGCTGAGTGGATAGTGCGACAGACTCCAAATGTCTTGATTGCAGTAGGTCATGGAATCGAATCCTACACATAGCCGAGTTTTTGCTAATTCGAGGCTTTTTTCTACTTCTTATTTCACTTGATTTAGCTGCTTTTTGGTCCTGTTCTCGCAAGTGTTTGCGAAGTGCAGCTTCGCCTCTGTGTAAAAGGAAGACAATTTCCTCTATCGAATAGCAAAATGTAAAGGTCACAAAAATTGTGATCTGTTCCTGGTTTTGAAAGTGGATTTAAATTTTCAGATTTACGTTTTGATCCAGTTTCCTCAAATTGGCCGTGTTTTATCAAAAAAGTGTCGATCATAATTTGAACTTGAACAATATCACCTGAAATTCAAAGAATTTTGAGGCCATATAGTTTTTTGAAATTCGAAAGGCCATATTTTGAGGCCATATAGTTTATTGATTTTTCAATGAAGAAGTCAGTAGCTTTGGTGTTTCCTTGCGTTCATTGACTCTTTTCCAACTGTGTTGGCTATGTTTCAAGACTTTCTCTAAGCAAATTTTGGGCTATTTTCCAGGACTGACAAATCTACAAGTGTTCAATTTTTGGCTGAATTTCTGTCAGCCAGGTTTCCACACACTGTAAATTAGTCTGACAATCAAAGCGGTTAGACCAGTTTATCTCAAGACTGACCTTTTTTTTCAAGTTTTCAAATTTCTAAAACAATACCAGACTCAATAACTTACGTGCTTGAGGTATCTGAAATCGCCGCGTCTTAAACCATCCCAGTTGTCATAGATCCTCCATGATTGGTAAGAGCAATGCCCGAGGTTTAAGGGATTTTACACGAAAAGTGATTACTTTATGAATCATCTTTAAAGCAAGATAGGTTTTTGAAAAAATATCCCCGTTCTTTCAAGTTTTTTGTTTGGACAACTTTGATTTTGTCATTTGCTTCGTTTTGGAGGATAGACCTTCGAAATTTGATGTGCGATTTTTTTACGGAAGAGATTTATCATAATATTTATCGGCAAAATGCAAAAAAAGTGATCTTTTCTAAATTGGCTAATTTTGTCGATCGCACAACATCTGGAAATTAAGACAGCTTCAGTTTTTCTGTTTCGATAGCTGGGAATAGTTATTAGAAGAATAAACTCGTGTTTTGTTTATTTTTCAACGTCCTGCACTTGCTGCCTTGTCTAATTATCAATAATTTGGCTGAATATGTGTTAAACAGGGAACAAGTGGTGCCCAGAGCAGTGTTGTATTTCACCGGAGAGGCTCTGGACGATTCCGACGAAGAGTTTGACGAGGACGAAGATGACGAGGACGATGACGAAGAAAGTGGGCCTGGCTCTTACCCCAAGTTCCCCGCTGGAGGTCGTGGAGGTCAGCGGGGCCAAGCAGCTGCTGCTGCTGACGGAAAAAACCCAGACTGCAAACAGCAATAAAACGGACTCACAAAGTGGTGATCACAACATAAACCATAACAGTTCCGCAGGCAGAAGACGACAGCTGAATTGCTGTGAGGAGACTAGAATTTTAGACTGGCTTTGCTTGAATTGAACAATTTTAATTAGTATTCTGATCAGAAATAGTTTAACCTGCCACATTTGATACTACATTTTTTCGAGTGATTTGGATCATTTTTTCTACAATTTTTGGTTGCCAGATTTTTTTGTGTATTGGACCAGTGCCCTTGCAGCTATATTGTAAGTCATCTCCTAAGCATTGTGCTTTGATTTTGACAATAGTTGACTTGAGATAAATGAGTTGGACGATTTGGTCCATGCAATACCGAACTTAGACGCGATCTTGCTCCTTTGAAACACTGAATTGATATTTGTGACAATATAGCATATTTGTGATTGGTATCTGTCGAATTCTAACTTAACTTAAGCTTTTGGAGCAATATCACTCGCCATGAAATTTAAAAAAGAGTATTTTTGATGCTGTGTAGTTTAAATTATATCTCATGTGAATTGAAGTCAGGAACTTCGCATTTGCATTGAAGATGTTAAAAGATAGTGTGAAAATGGATTTGATTCGAATTGCCAGTGCTTAATTCAAGTTTCTTCATAACTTTCTTAAATCAATGAGAAGAGATATCGAGTTACTACTTCTGGCTCCGATTTAAAAGGCAGGGTCATTTGGAAACAATGATGTGTCTTATGAGTACTTCACTGAGAGCAAAGTGGCAACACATTTTATCAGTATTTTAACCATTAAAAAATCTTTTTTTTTGCAATGCATCGAGTTATGCAGAATTTTATGACCGTTAGTGGTATCTGTTTTTTATTGAATAGTATATCATATCTCACTTTGAAGATCCCCGACTCAAGGTCAAAATGTTTTAGAAGTGAGAGGGGAGACGGATGTTTTTATGTGAATAGGGTTGTTTTGATCAAGCTTCAAACTCAATATGTAACTGGTTTTAGATAGGGGATAATTTAATATAGAAGTTTTACTTTCAGCAGTGATGTAACATTACAATGCCTGGAAAACTAAGCAAAAAAATCATCGCAAATATCCTCTTATATAGTAAATGAAAATCGGAATGTGCTATGGACGCATTATTTATTTAACTGAACGCAGTTTTAATTTTGTCGAGTGAAATGTTTAAGACATTTCTTAAGGCTCAACGTTTAAGAGAAAACCAAGCAAGAATATGCTAGATTTTAAAACATTCGAAATGGATTATTCGAAAAAATTTTTGGAATGAAAAAGAACGCTGTTGATGCAAGCTTCGAGGCTAGAATGTACCTGTCCTCTTTTTGTCCATTATTTGGCGTTTAAAGTTTCATATCAGCGTCAGACGAACTAACTAAAGACAGCAACCTCCCGGCTTAGAATAACTAGTTCTTTGCAAACCGCACGCTATGAAAAAACTTGAAATATTTAAAAATTTAATTGCTCATAAAGCTTGCATAGAAAAACTTTTTGTGAACCAATTCGTTCCCTTGAATCAACTTGAAATAATTTGAACTTTCTTCACATGAAAAGCTTGCTTGGTGTATCTTGAACTTATTGCGGACCGAGTCAGTCTATATTTGCACAAGCTTGCATCAAAAATTGACAAGCTTGCCTTAGAATTTTTTTTTTAGCGAACTAGTTTGCTTTATGAATCAATTTGAAATATTTCTAAATTTCATTGTTTGAATAGCTGCTCGGGAAAACTTAGACTCTCTCGAAACAATTCAGTTTACGAAATATGTTGATATGATTTAACGTTTCATCGGTTTATAAGCTTGCTAAGAAAAATTAATTTTTTTTTGTGAATTAATTAACTTGAAAAAGTTGCCAATTTCAACGCTTGATTAACTTGCTTGAGAAATGCTTGATTAACTTGCTTGGAATTTTGTCACCGACCGATTCGTTTCATAAAACAACTCGAAAGTTGCCAAAGTTTCATCGCTTGAAAAGCTTGCATAGAAAAATGTTAGTTTTTTTTGCAATTCGATTTGCTCTATGAGTTTGAATTTCTTCCATATCTATTCGTTCTATGAAATAACCTCAGGTAATTCAAGGTTTCGTCGGTCGCAAATTTTGCGTGAAAAATTGAACCATCAAGTGGACTGATTTGATCAATGAAAAAACTTAAAGGATTGCATAGAAATTTTTTTTCGACCTTCGATTTGATTTCTAAAACAACTGAAATACTTCATAGTTTCATCGCTCGAAAATTTTGAACAGAAACATTCAAAAATTTTTGAAACTGTTTGCTCTATGAATGAACTTGAAATATTTCAAAGTTTCATCGCTTGAGTAGCTTGCTATGAAAAATTTAATTTTTTCGGACTTATTCGCTCTATGAATTAACTATCTATTCAATTTTTCAACGCTTCATCAACTATCTTAGTTACATTTAAGTATTTTGCTAACCGATTCGCTTCATGAAGCAACTTGAGTTTTTATGACGTTTCATCGATTGAAAAACTTGCATAGAAAAACGTTTATTTTTAGCGAACCGATTCTTTCTTTGAAAGAACTCAAATTATTTAATAACCTTATCGTTCAAAAAGCTTGCATGGAAAACATGTATTTTTTTGCCAACCGATTCGTTAACTTTTTTTTGGAATTTGCCGGAGTTTCCTTGTTTGAATAGCTTGCTAAGAAACGCTTTCCGCGAATTGATTCGGTCTATGAAATAAATTGAAATTTTTCAAAATTTCTGTGCTTGAAAAATTATTTTTTTCGCGAACCGACTTTGCTCAAAAACTTGAATTTTGACAACTTGCCATTGCTGAAAAATTTGCATAGAAAGACATGAATTTTCTGCAAATCGATTTGCTCTATGAAATCAGTTGGAGGTTTCATGAAGTTTTCTCAATCAAAAAGCTTGCAAAGGGAAACTACCAGATTATTTTGCTTAGAAATTTTATTTTTCCTTTTTGCGAAATGATTCGCTCTTTGAAATAACATGTTTTTTCAAAGGTTCAATGCTTGAAAAGTTCATGCAGAAAGGCGTTAGTATTTGTTAATTCTATTTGCTCTGTGAGCATGAAATGTTTCCAGATCGATTTGTTTCATGAAATAACTTAAGATACTCCAAAATTTCATCGCTTAAAAAACTCTCGATGAATTCTCGATGAATTAACTTGGATTTTTTTGAAGTTTCATCGTTTAAATAGCCCGCTTAGGAAATCTATAAATTTTGCGACTCGATTCTTTAATTATTTCTACGACTGAATAACCTGCTTAGGAAATTTAACTTTTTGATGAAACGATTCTTTTTATGAAACAACTTGAGTTGTGGCAAAGTATCATCGCTTAAAAAGCTTGCATAAAAAAGGATGGTGAATTAGTTTGCCTCATGAAATAACTCATTTTTAATTTTCATGGATTGCTAAAAAAAGCAGTTTTTTTGCAAATTGTTTCAAACTATCTAATAAAAAATGAAAAATTTAGTTGAAATGAGAATTTTTTTCGAAAAGACTCGCGGCATGGAACATCAGTCAACGCTGCATTGCTTGAATGGCTTTCTCAGAATTTTTTTTAGTTCGAATGGATTAAGCTATGAAATGACCCAAAGTTTTTCAATGTTTGATTGCTGAAATGCTTGCTCAGAAAAACAATCATTTTATGAAACGGTTTGTTGCATAAAACGAAGAGATAACATGAACTTTTCAAAAGTTTCATCATGTGAACGGCTCGGCTCGATTTTTAAAACTTTTGTCAACCGACACGTGGCATGGAGTAACTTAAACAATTTCCAAAACTCATCGAACTTTTTAAAAAAAAACCTATTCGCAGTTATTATTCTTATTCTGTCGATAGGGTTATACTAGTATGCGATGTTTAGGAATGGGGTAGATACTTTGTCCGGCCACCAACATATGATAATATTTTCGCCTGTGACTAAATAGTTTTGATATTGAATAGCTAGCTTGTTCACATGCACCTGTTCAGCTAGTTGCTAATAGTTTTTGGGCAGGTAACAAAGTGGTTGAAACTTATTTTAATTGACAGTCTATCTTTCTTGTGATATTTTGAAACTTTTATCTATTGCTAAACGTGTCATAGATAGATTTTGGAACTTAGAAACCTTTTTTGTATATTGACTTTTGATTGCTTTTTAAGTTCAGGTCTTTTCCTTTGTTAAAGAGAAGCCAAATTCCACTATCCAACAGCAGAAGAGTACGTTTTTGCTCTTTCATACATGTTCTTTCACGACAAGGCATGAATGTTAAATGATATCATTTGCATAGTTTCTCTCGCGTTTCAGGGATCTTTCAATTTTCCGGGCTCTTTGACAATTTTCTGGCATCTTTTCCTCAGAAAGAGCAAAAACATACTCTTCAACACTTAGAACATAGTGAGTTATGTATGGTTTACTGTGCTCATAGAGTAATTTCAGATAAGGTACACCGTCTGCTCGTCACGCTATCTTATTTTCGGCCGGATAGATTCGTACAACTACTTAGTCTAATACCGATCTTAATCTTACTCTTATATCTCCTAGTCTCAATAGATATAGTGTATACTGGTTTATGCGAGTTAGTTTCCAGATGGAGAACAACTGTATTCTAAGTTTAATTCAAGTTACTCTGGTGCTGAAACTACAAGTAGTTTCAACACTTACAAATATTTGTAACTGTTGGTTATGGAATATGATTGGTTATTTAAGAATATTTTGTAGAATAAGAGAATTATATCTATAACCGATTATCAATTCTAGCTTAGAACTGGCTCCAATAGTTGAAGATGGCCTCGGGTAAAAGAGCCGTACTCGGGCACTTCGTCACCTCATGCCGGGTTCTTTTTCCCTCGGGCATCTTTCAACTATGTTCTCACTACTACAAAGTGTAGAAGTCAAAGGCGCGAAAAACGTGATAAATTTTTTATGTCATAAATGGAATTTGACTTTCGGATTTCCCGGATGAAACTTTACCAATTGATCCAATGTTTTTACTTACTAGAGCAATTGAATTGTAATCGGGAGTTTGACACTCGCGTAAACAGTTATTCTTTCACTTTCTACTGCTCAGATCTGCTCAGTTTCCTGAAAATTCAACAAACGGTTTCTTTGTCCAATTGAGTAGAGAGTTTTTAGTTTTTAGTTGTTTTATATAGTGAAGGACATGTGATGTAGTTTCTTTTTGAAGTTGCGAGTATTGAATTTTTGGAGAAAAGAGAAGTGTGGCTGTTTGTGTTTGACGGAGGAAGATTGTTATGTTCGTGTTTCTAGATGGGTCTCGTTGATCGTGGTAGTCTTGGGTGATTGTGTCAAGACTTCTGATCGATGCAATGATGTATCGATTTCGTTAAATTTGGAGCGAGACTGTGTGCAGGGTGAAGTTTGACTTTTCCGTGTGAAGTGCCAAGTGACTAGGATCTGTACGTGTAGTCAACATCGAGATGGCCATTGGTCTGGTTCAATGGTTTTCCTTTGCTGCGATGTTGTTTCCATACTCTAAATCCTTTGAGGTAGTGACTTTAGGCAGCAAATCAAAGAGATTGGCCATTCCGAAGTTGGAATGTGATTAGGTTGTCGTCTTCTTTGCTGCTCGTCTGTTGGGCTTTGCGAAATCTATACATACTGCGTTTATCTTTTACATATATAAATTTTTTTGTTTATTTTA